CACAACTACCATTGTAGGAAATGAATGGAGACAGCATGAAGAATTACTCTCAACTTTTTGAGATTTTGGGAGTAAAAGGGCATTAAATAAACAACGTCAAGTGCTGTTTGGAGTGTGTTAAGTTAGTTAGTCATGTAAATGGTTTAATGCACCCCTTGTATGTATTAGAACATGTTGTCACCAAACAAGTATTAAAATTACAATTTGGACATAAGACAATGTGGTAATAATGGATGGTAAAAACAAATAAAAGAATAATAAGGTATACACAATAATACCTTCCCAGCTAAGAACAACATGTTGGTGTCTGGATCAAAAAATGGCATCAGAATTCTGCATGTACAAAAGTTATGTGGATAAAAAAAGAGATGAGAGTGTTGGCCATAGAATTACACTGCTTGGATTAAATGTGTGGTGTGGAATGTTTGGTAATACCTAAAGTCACAGACAGTGCTTGTTCCATTTGAGTGTCACACAGAACAATGAATTATGCACAATTTTTTTAAGAAAAGTTTACAAAAGCTGTTTGTTAAAATAACCATTTGTTAAAGAAAGTGAAATTTAAAAACTCACTATTATCCTGTAATTGAAACTTGTGTTTTGACAGCTATATCTGTTCTTTATCACCTTAGATTTCAAATCTGATTTTGTAAAAAAAAGCTAGGAAAGTTAAAAATGGTAATAAACTTTGAGTTCACTTACCCAGATGATGTATCAAAGCTCATCCTCTGTAATGGACTGCATATATTTTTCACATCCCTAACAACAACTTCACGGCTGCGAGACTGTTGAAAGAGTAATTTAGAAATGTCTCATGTTTTCAAAAGACTCTTTCAGCTAAACTAAGTAATATTCTTACCTGACTGAAACCTGTGCTTATAATTTTGTCTGTGTTTCCCAGCCACAGCACTCTTGAGTCCTTGATTCCTTCCATGCCTTCACATTCCTGCAAACACAGCACACAGTCACTTAGTTTTGAAATATTTTTGTTAATTCCTATCAACACTAAATTCTTCATCTTTCAAAATGAAAATATAATCATACAAATCTTTGTCTAAAACACAAAGTGAGTGAGGCCCTTGATAATGGGACTAGCTAATACATGTTATGTGCATGTACATCATTACCATTATCAATATTATTCAATATCTATTATAACATAGCCAGCAAATTTGTCTAATCAAATTCAATTGCACGAGTATGCTTCATATTCCTATTATGCATGCTCATGACATCAGCAAACAAATCCCTCAAGAAAAAAATTTTCCACCAGGTTAAAAATATTATAAAACAATTGGTTCATACATCATCTGTGCATTCATCGATATATGAAGCACTTGGGAAGTTTGGAGAGTACTCAAGAAGCTAGAGTTGCTCTCGGCTACACCTTGTGCAACTCTTATGCATCTTTTGTGCTCTCCAAACTTCCCGTGTGCTTCATATCTCAATGAACACGCGCTGATGTATGAACCAATTGTTAGTTTGTTTACTCACCGCAACAACAGAATTTCCACGTGGGTCTAGGATGCGCACCTTCTTGTCCTGAGAAAGTAAAGGTTAGAAGAATGATGTCATTGTAGAAATGTACTTTATCAGAATAAAAATTATGTGAAATTCTTATCCGGTATAAAATTAGAAATATAACACTGTCTTATAAATAGCTGACCTTGCTGGATGTAACTAATAAAGAACCATCCCCTTTCCAGCAAAAACTTTGAACCAAGTCATGATGGTTTTCCAAATCTGTACCCAAACAAGAAATGATAAAACACCCTTTGATTAATACACAACTGCAAATATATGAAAATCATATATGTACACTGCTGTTGAAGAAATGGATGTAGAAGCAATCCTCACAGTCACGAATACTACTTAACTAGTAGTGAAAATAAGGCTTGAAAAAAATTCAGGTCTGTATGGGATTTGAACTCATGACCTCTGTAATACCGGAGCAGCGCTCTACCAACTGAGCTAACAAACCAACTGGGAGCTGATCATTATGTTAGTTACAAATAAAACCTCCAAGTGGTGAATACATGACTGTAAATATATGAAAATCATATATGTGCACTGCACTTATTTTCACTACTAGTTAAGTCACATTCATAACAGCAAGGATCACTTCTACATTCAACCCTTTGATTAATTGTGTCATATAAATGCATGTAGCTCATATAGAGTATTATGAAATATTAAATTATTATTTTAGTTAAATAGTAATACTACTCTTATTGCGTATACTGACTGTAGTTCAGCTGCTGTTTCTGTAGATCCCAGATGGTGACAGACTTCCCACATGAACTAGCTAGTACCTATTTCCAACAATCAGCAAAATCATAGAAAAAAATCACACAAACAGTAGAGTATTTTGTGATTTATAATCATGAATGAAATCTCATGTTTTTAAAATTTATGATTCCATATACAGTTGGTAATAAAAAAAAGATGCAGATTTAAATAAGGTAAAATGTTTTCTTGTGCAAGTCTTTTCATTTAATATTACCAATCATACCATACCTCACTTGCTGCAGGATGGAACAGCACATTTTCTACGCGACCCTTAGAAAGAGAGTAACAAAAAAAGTAATAAAAAAAGTAAACTCATAATCACTAGAGACATTTTTTGTTCACCCCATGGAATTTTTTAAAGCCATTTAGCAATTGGGTTGTTGATGTTTTCCTATACATTTTTGTTGTTTTGTATCTTTTTATAATGGGAGAAGGGACTGAATTGCAGTTACAGAAATATTAAAGTTTTATTACTGATGTTGTAACTTACAGGCTGCTGTGGAAGAGTACAAAGTGGTGCAGACAGAGTCCCTTTTATGCCTTCCTCTGGAATTTGCCACAGTTTAATCTGCAAACCAGATAGAAAATAGAACTAGAGTTACAACAGATATTTTGAGCCTGGTCCATTTTGACATTTGACAAGGAGGCAGTAAAAATGAAAATTTTGTAATCTTAGAATATTTTCAAACTTCTTAAAAATATCACAGGCAACTGCCTTCTTCTCATCAAGTTGTCAGTTTAAGCAGCCTCTACAAGCTTGTGGTTAATAAATTTCAGACACATAAGTAAAAAAAAAAATTAAACTTACTGAACAGTCATAAGAGCAAGTTGTCAAAAACCTTCCATCAGAGGGTGAAAAGTCCAGGTCAGACACAAAATCTGAACAAGAGGAAAAGGCCAATAAAAAAACAGACTAAGTAAGAGAGATAACTTCCTCTCCAGATCAAATGACTGTTTGAAAATGTTTAAGCAAAGCTGTACAACAGAGCAAGGAAAATATCATCTAGTAACCAATAAAATTAGTAATTCTAATGATAATAATAATAAATGTACCTGCATGAGCATGGAGGAAAGGCAGTGACTGTTCCTTCCTTCCTACCTCTTCAAGAGGAAGAACACCAAGACTTCCTCCACCTGAGGGATGAATATACTCTGTAAATGGCGATTACCAAATTTGTACATTGCCCTACTTCTGCAAGGTTTGTATTCTGTACTTCTTAAGAGAAAATTTAATCACTTTACAAAAATTTTTCTACATCTTTTCTGCCTGTTTTCCATGACTTAAAACAAAGTGGCTGGTTCTTGAATCAAGTGAAAACAAACAAGTTATAGAGGCAATTTTTATCTTTGTTTTTTCAACATGCAATTTTCAATAAAGGTTAAAATAGATGGTGTGATAAGTCTTACCTCCTGCATCCACATTGAATGCCATGAAGATGTCACTTGCTTTGATGTGATTTCCATGGGAGCTCATTAGGCTTCCAACTCTTATATCAGTAATGCACTCCTAGAAAACAGGTATATTGTTTGGTCAAGTATATAATGTGTTCAAAGCAATATTCATAGACACTGTGCTCTATAAAAGGATCACTCAAACCACCAAGAGTTTTGACTGCTCTTCCCTTGAGAAAACCTCATGTGGCAATTGGCCAAGTTTGCTGGCAGCAAGCTCTCATATATGATGTATTAATTGAAATCCTGTTAAAATCCCTATATATAATTTACAAACCCCACGCTTACTGGGAACACACCATCTCCACTCCTATCTGGCTTGCATCAAATAACTGCCCCACCCCCCTGGACCCCAGGAAATGGATTTGACTTAGTGATTCACTGCAGAGTTGAACCACAAAATTAAACATAGCCCTTAAATAAGCATACAAGGCTCTAACACACTATGGTCAAGTTTTAAAACAAAGCCTTCAACTGCTGAACATTTGCAGCAGAATAGATTTCCAAGGTTTACGATGATTGCATTCAAGCATTATTTCTTGCATTTAATCTTAGATGCCAGATAAAATGAAATTGCCTTAGTTTAGATTCATATCGGTGCTCTCAAACCCTAATATCTTAAGTAATTATACTGCTTGTCTACGAACGCAAGTAGTCTATGAAAAAAAAAAGAACTGAACATAAGTCAAAAGGTAAACTGAAATTTGCGAAGTACGTAGACTGGCAATCGTCATTGAAACAAAGATCGTGAACAACAGCGGTACCTACCTCTTTCTTAGGAATCTTCGGAGCTGCATTTCGATATTTGGAAGCCTTAAAACGATGCATCTTTGCAATTTATCCGATATAAACAAATAATTCACTCAGACAGCTGTTTAATGCTTTTCAGGCACGCGAGAAATCTCGTGAAATCGCCAACTTCCTCCACCGGGACAACCCCGCAATGCCATATGGGAATAGTTTTAAAAATTTCCCGCTCTGCTGGAAATGGGAATGGTAAGGTTCAGAAGAAAACAGGAATAATTTACTCAAATTAACTCAATCTTCTGCTCCTCTTACCGCAAAACATATTCCCAATGAAAGTTCCCTAAGTGTTAGCTTCCTAAGCTTCAGGAAACAGAACTCATCACCCATCAAGATGAAGATAAAATGGCTACTGTCTCGGATCAAGTGAGTAGCAAGGAAGGAGGGTTCTCCTCTCCCAAACAAGTCTTCCACGAAAAGTGCAAGTTTTCATTCACATTCATTTGATATTTATTTACATTTATTTTTTTTACATATACTAGTTCATTTGCCCAAACATAATGTTGGGTATACAGAGCTCAATGTAAATTTGAAGTTTAAATATACTCTTTGGCTCTGAAACCATAGAAAGCAGTCTTTGCTAATGACATTTTTCTTTATGCTCCTTTTAATGTCACCTATTCTCCCACCATTTCTTGCTGGAACATTCTATCAATTCACTGAAATCTGAACAAGATACCCCATTGTATGCACTTGTGTTTTGCTTGTCATGCTTGTCAAGTATTTCATGTTTGAAACTCATGATAGGTAAAGCTTTCTTTTTCACTATTTCACCTAAGAAACAAATTTGAGTTAGATGGAGTTTCACTCTACTTGTGGTATGTACAATACAAATTGCCTAGTTTCCAGCCAAAAAAATTCTGCTACTTATTTCCCACACAGCAAAGTGCAATGAAATACAAATCACATATTTCACCCATGGATTGATAGTTTTGAGTGCAATGAAATACAGATCACATATTTCACCCATGGATTGATAGTTTTGATGAGCTTTTAGTAAACAAACTAGAGAGTAACAACAAATATCATTTGAACTCATAAAAGTTCAGCTGAAAATATGTATTCTTTTAGCTGCAACTCCTAGCTACCAAATTAAGAAAAATAGCCTGTTTGGTAGGGAAAGAGAAAAAAAGGTAATTACATGAATCATCTTAGGGTAAAAAAATTCAGAAATTTTTTAAGTACCAACAAAAAATTATATCGAGGACACTTATTTAAAATGGCAAGAAACTGGGAAACACACTACAGAAACTAAAGAAATGAATCTTGAGGAGAAGAGTGCATCTCTTGATAGTTGTCAAAACCACCATCTTCTCCCGTGAGGGAAAGAAGCTGCGGCATTGGAATGTGTGGAATATTTAGCTGCATGGAGGCAAGGCTTTGTGGAGACAGTGGGTTGTTTAGAGTTGGTGATTCCACTGAGCTTCTCTGATCAGGAGAACCCTTGTTCAAAATGACTGCTGTGGTCTTTGGGGTTGATGATGCAACCGCTTTCTGTTTTGGAGTTTTGGTCCTTGCTTTCTTTACAGGAGGTTCTTTGGGGACCTTGTCTGATGTGTATTTTTTCATTTCTTTTTCATATCTCTCTTTATCTTTTTCATACATTTCATAGTAAACCTAAAAGATAATAAAAAACAACCAATAAACAGTCTTTACATGTAAAGAAGTAGGTGATGACTTCAGAGACATTGTTGGCATTACCCGTATGTAAGAAATGCCAATATAATTCCAAGAGTCAGTTTAGCTTTTATATTGTTTTTAACTGTTTTCCTCTTCCTGCTAGAGGACTTTCCTATAGACAATGCAGGATTGAACAACGTGTAACATTGTATAACAATGTCCTTTCTTTTCCAAACCTTTTTATCTTCAGTGTCCAAGTTATTCCATTCCTTGGCAAGTGACTTAGTTAACTCATGGTGTCCTATATTGGGATCCTTCTGATCATCTTGCATAACAGTGCGCTGCTGTTGGCAGTACATAAAGAAAGCATTGGCTGGTTTTTTAGGTGCATTTGGATCTTTGTCTTTGTCCTTGTCCTTTGAGTTATCACGTTTCTTGTTCTTTTTCACAGGTGGTGAGTCTGGACTCATTAATTCACCAGGTAAGAGGGGAGAAGGTGCAGATTTTGGAAATGCCTCTGAAACTATTTCTGAGAGTAGTTCAGCCTGGGGAGAGAAAAAAATTGCTATGTTAGATTTTTAGATTGAGATATGAAAAAACAAAAAAACAAAAAAACAAAAAACAAAAAACAAATGTAGCCATACATGTTGCATCCCAGTTAATTAAAGAGTCTTTAAAGGTAATACTTGATGATGACTCCCACACAAAAATTGGTTGGATAAATCACTTCTTTTTACAACTAAACATTCCAATGATGATGTGATATACTACAAGGTAATCAATGGAAATATAAAATTAAATTGAGCCTCACCTGAAATGGTGGCTGTGCAGCTCGATAGTCATCATTATACTCATCTAATCTGTCCTTGAGAAAGCTAAAAACATAATAGATTGAAAAACTAAGAGATATATTTATTTATCATAACATATTCACCCTTTCAACTCCAGAAGTAATCATTAAATACTATCTTCTTAAAATTGTCGTACACTGACAACCAAACAGGTAATGAAAACTAAGAAAATTAGTTCTCAAACAGCCCGCAAAGAAACTTAAGGCCACCAGTTAGGGGAGTTAGCCTTTGAATCCTTTTAGTGAAATTGTTATTTTTTTTTTTAGCATATTCCTTAGTTATGATCACAACGATATTTTGTTGTTGCGAGACTTCTCTTTCTATCATTGCTTTTCTGTAATTTTTCGCTAGTTCTTATTACATGTCAGCAGTAGCTCTTTCGCTGAATCGTACTCTGTTCATCTCTATCAGTAACAACTTGAGATAAAAGTTTTCTTTTCAAAATTATTTTATTGCTTCCAAGTTAGGAGACTATCGGTAAAATTCACCGAGACAGGCAAAATTCTCTTACCTTCGCTGTTTTCGATAGCGCTTTAGAAGAGTCTTAACATGGTATATACGATTGACTAATCTCTCGTTCTCCTGTGGATCAAAACAAAGTTAAGGTGATTTTCAACTTCGTCAACACTCAGTAATTAGTAGCCCTGCATTTCAAGATATGTTAGTTCTCCCAAAACCGTAGCGTACATCACCTGCTCGATCTGCCTGCAGTGTTTAAGTAAAGTAAAGTATTTTTGTTTGCACACAGTGTCGTGATCTGTAAAAAGATCTAAAGACACATTTTGATCTTCTTCATCCGCCATGTTAAATTCTAGCACTACCCAGAGGCCATTGCGTTCATATTTCTTTTGACAATTCCAGGGTAGTCCCTCAGGGATTCTCGGTTTCCTCCTAATGAGAGATGCTACTGGAGACGAGGTTGCAGTCCCTAAATTTTCCTCAACGATTTTTCGTCACTTTTTCTAATGGTTTTCACTTCATTTGAACAACTAACCATACTGTGCGTAAAAAGGAAAAAAAGAAGCAAAAATTGAACTTGTTAATTTCATCTAGACCCACAAAAAAAATTGATAGGGTAAAAAAAAGCTGTGCCTTGCATCATACTAGAGATTTTACGTGGAGGGTGCTATCCTCTATCTCGAATCAACGCGCTTGTTGCAACAAAGCGATTCAGCTCCTCTTCTCTATCAGCGTTTATTACAAAAAGGTAAACATCAAGTCCAATTGTTAATAGGCGTGGGCGACCGACAAGAAACCCCTAGCTACTTTTGCCATTTCAGCGATACCACGAAAATCTCAGTGTTATAGCTGCTAGTGTTAGCTGTTTGATGAATGTCTCAAAATGCAGTTAACTTCACGTAACTCACTGAAAAGAATAATGGAATTTCATTTACTCAAATACTTTTAAGTGACAAAACGGTCGCTTGAAAATTTCACTCTGACATCTATCTATTAGGGCCTTTCCGCACTTGCGAAAAAGTTGTTTCTTTTGAAAATTTTTCTGTCATCACCAACATTTTTCAAGTACGGATGCTTTGTCGCGACTTGATAATTTTTGCCGAAGCGGAAAAATCTTCAAACACGCCGCCGAAAGAATTTGTCCTGGGTAAAAACTGGACAAAATCGACTGAATAAACAAAACTGTGATAAACTTGTCGATCATTTGTCGTAATATTGATCGCGAATATTGTCTTTTATCGCTTAAGTCGGGGATTCTAAAATTTTAAAACGACTTAGGATAAATCCTTGAAATTGGAGTCGCACGGAATCCTTTGCCAAACTATGCTGGCCGGTCTTATGAACAGATCAGGCGCTGACGGAATTTGACGGCTTTGACATTATGGATGCGAATGTAACTGACGAAACCAAAATTTGCCCTTTGATTTTATCGGGAAAATTCTAGGTTTGTCTGCTAATGCGGAAAGGCCATTACATACGAAAATTACAGAATCCTCAGATTATTTTGAGAAACGTCGGTGTCCACGGGTTATGATACATTATGGGTACAAAATCACGTTTAACCATTCTATTCCCAGGTTTCAACTCAAATGCATTGTAAAGACAGATGCAACATTCTTCTGCATTCAGATGGATAACAATAAAGTCACAATGTTTTCGTATTAGCCTTAGTTAGGTGGTAATTACTGAAGAAGTGATGTTTATACAGTACAATCATTTCAACCTGAATCTTTTGTTTTAAAGTCATCTCACGATTGTTATATTAAAACAAAATGTAATGTTTCGATTAAGTGACTAACAATAGGTTCAGTTGGCTTATTAAGAATCGTTTTGCGGACTGTGCCGTTAACTACCGTAAAAGCAACGACACCTCACTGATTGTAATTTCTATTAAATGGTCAACCTACATGTGTCCAATCCACCTTCGCAGGGGAGACAATTCGTCGCCCTTTTAAATTTCTAAATCACAGGATCATCTAGCAATCATATAGGTGCACAAATGAAATCTTGAACAAAGGCTGCTTTCTGAGCCTCACAGACCCAGAAGGATTAACAGCTTCCTTGTGATAAAACAAAGCGCTGAATCAAACAACTGAAGATACAAAAACTCCTTGCTTCCTAAATCAGCTCTGATTTTCTTCCTTACTTAACTCTTGCGGACCATCGCCAAAGGTAAGAACAGGATTATCATAAGCCTGCGCCGAATCAGCCAAGGAACTCTCCTGACTATCTATCAAAAGTTGACGACTTCCAACCGACCCCGCTGACCTGGAAACGTCTTCTTTAGATTCAGCAACAGTCATTTGATTGTCCGACAGCCTTGGAAGGTTCCACTCTGGCATACCCAATGCGCCGACATTAAATTTATCTTGTTGATGAGCATCACCATTGGTTGTGCCAGTTAGTTTACCGCGGCCTCTAGCAGGTGACCTATTGAAAGAATACGCTCCAACTTTAAATTCATCATCAGCGTTGGGATCAGCAGCTGTCGCATCCATTTCCACAGGTTCTCCATAGTAGTTCACCCTGGAGTAGGAACTCGCACGAGGGATACCATGAAATCGCCTTAGTTCATAATGTGTGTCGTTGGTAAGGAAAAAGCTTCCCTCACGTCGATCCTTGCGACATCGGAAAATAAGCACACAGATGCCGACGAAGAAAACAACAGCCATCAAGGTACCAAATCCTATGTAAAGATAAAACGCAATTTTATTGCTCTTGGCTTCGGTTGTTGGGGCCTGTGTAACTGGTGACGTGGGACGAACCACTTCCAACTTACTCGCCTTGAACTTTTTTTCTCCCAGAGTTACACTAAAGTTTCCGCTGTCGACAATTTTCTTTAAAACTTGTACCACATTTTTTAATCCACCTGATTGGTGAATAGTCATAGGAACTCGAATTGAACCACATGCAATATTCCCCATCACAATTGCCGATCTTGGAATCCTAAGTTTACTGGATACTTCCATCTGCACCGCCTCTCGAAAATCGTTCTCCCTATCTTTGTTGCTCTTGACGTAGTTACAATCTCCATCAAACACGACAACAACGGTCTCATTTTCATAAACAAGTGGTTGTTCAGTCACTACTTGTGAAGATGAAGGAGTTGGTTTTCTCGCGGTGGTCGCTGATGAGATAACGATCGATTTTGAAGCCACAGTATTTGATGTCGTTGAACTAACCAAAGAGTTTGTCATTGTGTTTACTGGTCCAATTTCAGAGATCGACGCTGAAACAGTTGGACTACCTGCGAGCATTGAACGCGACGATGTTGGGGTAACTTTAAGACTTGAGCTCGAAGTTGTACTACTACCTGCAGCACCTGAAGTTAAAGAGGCTGTGGGAGTTGCCGAGACTGATACGGAAGGTACACCACTAACAACAGGATTCGAGCTTGAAAGTGCCTCACTGACAAAAGGACTTGTACTTGAAAGTGCTGCACTAACAACAGAACTCGAGCTTGAAAGTGCTGTACTAACAATAGGACTTGTGTTTGAAAGTAAAGTAGTAGCTGTACGGCGTGAACTTGAAAGTGCTGCACTAGCAACAGAACTTGTACTTGAAAGTGTAGCTATAGCTGTACGGCGTGAACTTGAAAGTGCTGCACTTACAACAGGACTTGTGCTTGAAAGTGCTGCCGTAACTGTAGAGCGTGAGCTTGAAGGTACCACAATGCTTGAGCTTGATTGTACTTGTGTGAAAAAACGGCTTGAGCTCGGAATAACTACAGGACTTGAAGGAGCTGCACTAAAAGCACGACTTGAACTCGAAGATGCAGGTAAAGCTAAAGACCTAGACCTTGAAGACGCTGCTCCAACCACAGGACTTGAGCTTGAAGGAGCTGTGCTAACTGCAAGACGTGAACTAGAAGGTACAGGTGACGCTATAGATCTGAAGCTTGAAGACGCTACACTATCTATGGGACTTGAGCTCGAAGGTGCTGGAATAACTGAGAAACTTGAGCTTGAAGATGCTGGGATAACCATACCACTTGAGCTTGAGGGCGTCGCACTAACTAAAGGAATTGAGCTTGAAGGCACTGCACTAACCACAGGACTTAAGCTTGAAGGCACTGCACTAACCACAGGACTTGAGCTCGAAGGCACTGCACTAACTACAGTACTTGAACTTGAAGGCACATCACTAACTACAGGACTTGAGCTTAAAGATGCTGGAAAAACTGCTGGACTTGAGCTTGAAGATGCCATATTAATTACAGAGCTTGGGCTTGAATGGACTGGAGTAACTGCTGAAGTTGAGCTGGAAGGCATCACATTAACTGCAGGACTTGAGCTTGAAGATACAGTAGCAACTCCTGGACTTGAAGGTGCCATACTAACAGCAGGACTCAAGCTTGAAGGCGCCGAACTAACTGCTGGACTTGCGCTTGGAGATGCTGGAGTAACTACTTGACTTGAGCTTGAAGATACCGCACTAACTACACGACTTGGGCTCGGGTGTGAACTGCCCACTGCAGGTCTTGAACTTGAAAGCACTGCACTAGCTACAGGGGTTGAGCTTGAAAGCACCACACGTATTGTAGGGGCTGACATTGAAAGCAACGTACTAGCCACTGGGGATGAGCCTAAAGGCACCGTACTAGTCATAGGGCTTGAGCTTGATAGCACCGTTCTAACCAGAGCAGTTGAGCTTGAAGACACTTCACCAGTAACTGGGGTCGAGCTTAAAGTCGACGTACTCACAACAGCACTTGACTTTGCAAGTGCTTCACTGCCAACAGTACTGGAGCTTGAGGCTGCCGGATTGACGACAGGACTTCGGCTTGAAGGTGAAGCATTAACTACTAAGCTTGAACTTGGAACTGCTGCACTAACTGTAGGGCCTGAGCTTGAAGGAGCTGGAATAGCTGAAGAAGTTACGCTGAGGGAAACTGCGGGAACTGAGGTTGGAGGTGCTGCACTTGCTATTGACTTTCTTGAGTTTAAAGATGCCGAGTTTCCTATAGCTGCCCTTCTCTGTCTACTATGAACGCGGTTGTATTCTTCCCGAAACGCTTCTAGAATGATGTTTTCAATTTTTCTTCCAGAAGAGAAAGTGATTTCTCTTGACTCTAGACGATTTCCATTGTTTCCTGTGAAATTGAGGTCCTTAGGTCTGGGTGTTTTCATTGAAATCACATTCTAGAAAGAGAAAGATAAAAAAAACTTCGATGAGTTCGAGAAAAAAGTAAGCAAGGATCGAGGATTGGGGTCAGTTAACCCACACAAGGAACACTTAATCCGGCCACAACAAATTTTACTGACTGATATAACTATTCCAATGGAACACGATGATAGTCGCAAATAATATCATATTAATTCACAAAACTATAATTTAGTGATCAACAGAAACCATCACCAAGCTTCAAAAGTGAAGGAGTCGGAGTATGGCATACAGGCTCTCAAAACTTCGCGGGGCTTATTTTACCAATATCTACATCTAATCAAAGTTCATTACTAAAACGCACATTTTCCAAAAAGGTAAGTTGAAAAGTTCAAAATTATCCAGGTGTCATAATCTCCGTTAGAAGTGAACATTTCGAAGCAAACGGCATCATTCGGGAGATTCTATTCCAACTTAGTAGCACTTTGTTCTCAGCAAACACGAAACGTTAAAAAAGAAAAAAAAGAAAGAGGTCCTGGCTCTGACTTTGGTTTTCTACCGAGGACCCAAATGGCGCAAACTTCTAAATCTTCTAACTGAAAAAGAAAATGTCTTGCCGAGAGTGACAAGTGTTGGTAATTTTCCCAGCCTTCAACCTTACTTTTCACTTGGTTTACGCATACTAGACCACCAAAAACGTGGTCGTGAAAGCTACCTGGAGAAAACGTGACTGAAAAACTATCCTTTCCTGCAAAGCGCCACCATGCCTTCTGTGAAGGTCAGGGGTTCAACTACATCATTGGCTGGCGGTTCACAGTGGGAGCGCGATGTTGACATAATTCTTCGAGGGGGCGTGAAATGCTTCTTAACCTCTGGAAGACGAAGACTCGCAATACGATTTCCACATGATGTCTCCTCTTCAAATGAATTCATAGAAATTGTGGGATTGACAGAGCGCCTTGAAATTTGGCCCAAACGTTTGCTGAACGAAGAGGAACGGAATTTTTTTTCCTTCCTTCCTAGCGGCCTCGAAAGGCGACACGTCTGCAAATACTCGACAGAGAAAATCGATAGGTACACTGAAATGTTCACACTCTTTGAGAGAATGATCTTTTATGCAGTTACACTTCATGATCGATCAAGTTTAATACCCGATTTATTCGCCCGATTGGCATTTCAATTCAGTTTTAAGTAAAACAGCCCTCACTACATGCCCTCTTTTCTATCAAACTAACCAACTGATGACATATTGCACTAATATGACTCTGAATTCTCTGTAAATAATACAGGATAGGGTATTATAACATTTAAACAAAAATGTAGCAAGCTACCTTTTCATCAGCTGCCTTGCCACTTTCTTTGACCATCCTTATTATTAGTTTGGTTTCCAAGGGTAACAAACCTTAAAGATAAAAAAGTCATCACCTTCAGACATGGCACAAGGTGTAATTGGGTATTGGATGAATGGGAGAGTTGGCTGGGAAATAACAGATGAGAAATATAAACTAAGTGATTTGCCAGTTCAGAAATTAAGATCTTAACTCCTACATTGTTAGTTATCCATTCCAAAAATTGTCTGTCAATCATAATCATAACAATGTGCTTTTAGTTCTATTCCAAACACTGAACAATACTTGAAATGGAAGAGAAAAAATGAAGTGGCTCAAATCATCAGTTTCAGCGTGATGGCCACTTACTATCAGGCAACTGTGGGACAAAATAACTAAAGAGTAAATTGAACAATGTATTGCCTTTGTAGTGTGAGAGCCTCTTTCCAGTAACAACTAAGACAAATATTGTTTCCTGTATCATACCTCTGTTCTGTGCTACAGTCAATATCTGTGGAACCTCTGTAGTGACCGCCACACATATCAAAAAATTTGGCTTCTTCTCTAACAGCCATGGAAGAAAGTTTTCTTTTCTAATGGAAATGTATTTCCTGTAATGATATTAAAAAGTTTTTCAAAATGATGTTGACAAACCCATCATTATTGAGGTGAATTGCTGGGAAATGATAAGAAATGTCATATATTACTGGAAAATTAAACTGTGTGATTAGATGGAAAGTCTAGGAATACAAAATAAAATTTTGGTACTGATAGAAGATATGGACAAAAACCTACAACACAGACAACATGCACTGGATTAGGGTTCAGGGAACCTAATGAGCAACTGTGGCTGGAGCTGATAGCACAAGAAACATCACAATTTAACATAAAAGAGGGCAATGATAAGCTCCCATACAGCTCAAGGGTATTTTTAATGTGATGATGGCTTCAGAGGCATTATCCAAGCCGGTGTCCCAGCGGATTTGGACCCCCCGGTCCAAATCCGCTAGCGGATATGGACTCCCCTCCGCGGATTTGGACCCCTTTAACAAAACTGAGTAAAAACATTACCATACATAACTTCCTAATAGAAATAATAAAAATTTAGAAAGTAGGCTTTCAAAGAAAGTTTTTTTTTCAGAAAGTAGGTTTTTATTTTAAAACATTCTCGTAGACGTGATCTTTTTCTCAGCATTGCGTCTCAATTTAAGATTTTCGTTTAATTAACCTGCAGCTGTAAGTCTGTTGTTTACCTCTGGAATGAAAATGAAACGTAAATTTTGAAATCATTTGTTTGCTTGCCAGTTCTCTTGAAAAAGTATGAAATATAAAATAATAACAACCGTTGAATGCGTGAAAGCTTCAATTATGATTGTTTTTTTTTTTTGGTTTTGTGAAATACCGATTGCTCGAATCTCGACTTCTAAACTTCCGACAACTTCAACAAAAAGCCTTTAGTCAACGCAATTTCTCGAATTAAGCTTTATTTTCACGAAGGTTCGAAAGAATCGGGAATTCGCTGTTCGTTTTCCTCAACTGATATGCGTTGCTCCGCCTACTTTAATTTTATACGGTTGAACAATTTACTTCTTTATTAAGTTATTCTGTTATGATGTTATTTTAGGCGCACCGTTAAATAAACATCGCGTTGCGTTTGTGCTACTTGCTACTTACCTCTTGAATGAAAGTAATTAAGTTAAACTTCAAGTCTTTTTAGCGCTCTTGTCAAGTTAAAAACAGAGTGTTTGGTAGGGTGAATTAACAAAAAGTAGATGATAGACAATAAGTCACCGCTATATTCTAATTACATTGTTTTCTTTCCTTTTCTTTTTATTCTTTTTCTCGTCTAGATTCTTTTCTTTTTGAAATCTAGCGCTTTTCACCAGAAGCCTTGAAAAGCGTGTCTTTATGTACCGCAAGTGTGTAACTTTGAATCAAACGTTCTCATAATACTCTTTAACGCGTAAAAGTTATAGTTAGTGTTGCGCTTGGTCTGTTAAGCACCGACCATAAAAAAGTTATTTTCAGTGCGGTTATAAAATGTTTCACAACTTACTAACTGATAGAGCAAATATAAAAACGGTTTAACTCATTTAGTTAAACTTATTTATTGATATTGTTTTTTGTCTAGTCGAATGTTAACAAATTATCGGTATGAAGTGATAAACATGTACTAGACAATAGGTCGCTTTTAGACGATAATTACATTGTCTTGATATATAGAAATGTTAATAAGCGTGGAACGTGTTACAGCAATTATTCATTTATGTTATTGTTACTGTGTGCAGCACAATAAAGTTTAGTTTCTCCGCCTACTGCAAAGGTTTTATTTTACTTTTATTGTCTTCGCTATGTATAAAAGGGCACTCAATTCCACAAGTGTAAGAGTATTGCTAGTTTCGTTCTTGTTCAGGATTATACTATTTATACTGAGACGAAATAGTTTTCACTATTATGACGTACTTTACGAAGTAAAGTGAGAGTAGTACTAGTTTCATACTTGTTCTTCAGAATTGTATTGCAACAGAATAAGAAAGGATTTGGTATGAGTTTCAATAGTTCGAATCCAATAGTTTGTTGTCATTTAATTCATGCGTAGGCTATTCTACCAACTTAAATAAATGTGTCAGAAATGAAACGATATCTGCCCTTTTCTTCGTCAATTATAGTACGCAATCTTGTGTTGAAATTTTAACGGACATCGCCTAAAAGCTCGCAGTTGGAACAAGTTACGAAAAAGGAATGTTTAGTTGGGGGGGGGGGTCCAAATCCGCGAAGGGGGTCCAAATCCGCTAGCGGATATGGACCGGGGGGGTCCAAATCCGCTGTGACACCGGCATAATGACTCTCTTGAGAGAAACTTTAAAAAATCCCTTTCTCTCGCGAAAAATTTCCTTAGCCCTGGGAATGCCCCAGCAGGGAGCATTTAAGGCTCAGCAGAGCCTATTATCAGTGTTTTAGTCATAATCTATTATCACAGCTAACAGGATGTGACCTTTGATGATCGCCAAAGTATAAAACCCACCCTAACAGGTTAAACATTCTCTCATAGCCTCATCAATTATTTAAAAGAAAAGGCTCATGAGAGAAAAGACTCGTTCATCAAACTACTTTCCCTTGACCATCAAAAGCAGTTTTGGACTAAAGAGATGTTCTGTAGTGAATAAAAAACGCAAAGAAACTCTCCGAAGAATAAATATCAACGAACATCATGGTCGCGATCAGATCACACTAAGTAAACCCACACAGCTGAAGGAACGAATATTTTTTCCCAAAACAAAAACTTCTCACCGTAGTGGTATGTCTTACGCATCTAAATTATTCACATTAGTCTTTTAAATAATTTATCAAAACTCAAGACGGACTATCATTCTGAAATGAGAACAAAGCATATCAATTTTGTCGCGTGGCAAAATAACTAGCGGAATTCAAATATAGTAATTTGTTTCCAGTGTGAGCGCGAACCAAATATCGGAGCAAAGTCCGCATAAGAATATACAATATAGGTGACTCTCACAATTAAGAGCATTTTTTCGTAAGCTGGAAAAAATAAAACACTTTGGCGTTGCTTCAATGTTTTTAGCGAAAATTGTCGCGACAGTTGAGGCGAAGGGTTTCAAGAGGGGCCAAACCTAATTACGTGCCGCCGGAAAAAGACTGGCTTAATAAAATTTTTGACAGTTTCAGATGCATTCAGGTCCTTTACACGAGAAAATTTTGATGCTTGAGCGATCTAACATCTCAGACCGCGAAAATGTACCTCAACTATTCAAGCTCGGAGACAATGGCAATTATTCGCTGCTTGAGTCTCAAAGAAGTCTTATATAATAACAAAACACCTCCTTAAAACAACAAGAATTAAACAAAGCGAATGATTTTACCGATCTTGTACACTAGCCAATGTCTGAAATGAGCCGTGAGATTCAAAGCCGCCATCTCGTGCTCGTTGAAGGATAACAAATTCATTCCCTAAATTGGCTTGATCTGCTCCTAGGAAAGATGTTTGCAACTTTTCAGCATCAATCATCGAAGAGCCAAGGTCTGCAATAAGTAAGATCCTTGATTTCTGCCAAACATTTGCTGTATCAGAAGCTGAAAGGTTAAAAAAATAGAATCAATGAGGCTGAATGCACAAAAGGCGATATTTCTCAATAATTACATTATTCAATATTTTTTCCATGGCACGAAGCATTTCGTAGCATGCAACGTGTACATCGTAAGACCCGCGAATGAATGAGTTCATTCTATCTAATACATTGCGTAAACTATTTCTTTGCAGATGCTATGGAAAGCGATGTGATTTACTTCATTATCTACATAATGTGCTTACCTCTGCTAATGAAAGCACCAATTCCAAGATAAAGGAATATGCTGGCAAGCATCGTCGAGGTCTTGTAACTCTTAAAAATCCTTCGTTTGTAAACAAAATGAGATAATTTCATTCAAATTAAAGCGATGCTTTATGAGCTCAACAAACTTGGCGTTGGCAAATACATCATAGCGTATCACTATCCCTACTGTTGATATTGTTAAAAATCTAAAGAATATAACACAAACAACAGAAGATATTAGACCTCACTACCGCTAAGAACTCGCGCCCATTTGTTCAGCCAAACGTACTCGCGCATGCAGGATACTCTGTTAGAGTCCGCAGTTAATTTACAGTTACGTCACCGTGACTGAGTAATTATCAACTAACCAACAAAAATATAACCTTGGTTAATCTGGAAATTTCAGTCTCTTTCCGAACCACGGCAACGTCAAGAATGATAATGACACAATTGAAAGAGAAATTAACAATGCAGAATAATAAAATTGCAACTTCTTTTCTTGCGGCAAAAAAGGTTAAATGTTGATGAAGTTCTTGCGAAGTGTTTGGTTTATAGCGGATTTTGGGAATTTAAAGCATAAGAGCCAAAAGCTAACCCTACAGCCAATTCTCTCTCCTCTGTCTCGATTTAGTGGAAAGATGAATGTTATGCTTTCGTGTCTGTAACAAATGCAACTGTTACTGATCGAGTGCAAATCTCCTTTGCATCTTTTAGGTCCCCTGCTGTCAATCCTATTCGGCAAAACTTCTAAAAGCTGTCAACAACTGTTCAGTACAACGTTAAATTTTCCAGGGCTCATCTTTATAAAACATTTTCACTGTCACTGTTACATGTCACACAGTGTCAAGTTTATGTCACAGAATAATCTGAGTTTAGAAGTTTTTGAAAGCTTGTTTTTTTTTTCAGGCATTTTTTAAACTTTCTCTGTCTTCTCTGTCCTATTTTTGTCGTACAGCGCTACAGTCGAAATCAAAGTACAATTACTGTAATAGTCCTCAGGCAAGACATGCTAAAAATGAAGAAACAATTAAAACAAATGACAACGCGAAGTGAATCTGTTTATTCCACTAGGTCTCACTATGGCCGATTGTGAAAGGATTATAAGAAGAGGATATTGGTGTTACAATGTGAAAGCGTGCAGTCATTGTCGGTGAAAATAAGAGCTGTCGAAGAGAATGAAAGAGTTGTTAGCATTGTAGCAGGGATGAACATCCTGAGAGAGTGGAGAGAAACACACACACATTTTGAGGTAACGGCTATCATGTGCCGACTTGTCCTGTGGACGCCGGAAATTATAAGCTTCATTTTGAACTAATGAATTTTAAACGGTCAGTTTCATTTAGGAGATTGTAAAATTCCTTTCACAGGAGGCACAAACTCATAGAAAATAATTTTCTTTTGAAAGAAAATGGATCATTAGGAGTGGAAACTAGAGGGCTCTTGAAATGAAAAAATGTCGGGTGCGTTCTGCTGTGGCGGAAATCGCCTCAATTTTTTTTCGCTTTACGGTCTAAAGAACAAATGTAATCACGAACACGAAAGTTGATGCGCTTCTCTCGAAACAATTAAGTATGGCTGACTTCAAACCTTTCAGACGTGAGATTTCCAGCCAGGCTTTTAACATAATTATCTGCTACAAATCCAAACCTCTGGAAATTTCAGCATGATACGCATGTTACATAATTTCTTCCTCCGCTTTGCCTGCCGTATTTTCCGAGAAGTCTTTTTTCAGAACTGTAAATGTGATAAGATTTTAAAGACGCAGGTCGGATTACAAGATTAAGAACGAATAAAAAGTTGAATAATGAATAAGCCTAAACTAAACTGACAAATTAAGAAGGCTTACTTTGTACTACCTCGCTGACACCTACATAATTCTTTTTGTAAGCTGAGGGTCCCAAAGGATAAGGCCGATTTCTCAAAAGTAAGTAGACAGTTACTGAGTAGTACATGACAGCTGATTGTTTTGTTGCTCTCAGCTGATCAAAGTACTGCATACTCAAAATCTTTAGCCGAGCTTGATGCTTGTCCAGCTAAGCTGTGAAGAAATGTAATTTCCTTCGCTAGCTAAGTTTCTTTAAGATCAGAACTTTCCCAAAAACGCGGATAAATCATCTGAAAGTTGGTGAACGTTAAACCTGTTCGTTCAAGATGATGGAATTGAACCTGACGCGCTTGGATTACTTACAGGTGCAGACGATGTTTTATGGCTTCCTTGGATACCGAACTTTGCACTCGGTTTTAGATATAAATTTATCGGAACTGAAATGAACGAACTTTTATTTCCAGGTCGGTGTCACGTCTCCTAAGACGATGAAACTGTTATCTAGTGGCGGAAAACGGAGCGCTCAGAAGGTTAAACATACTTTGGATCATCAGTGCAGTTGGTCGTTCACGTTACTAAGTTCGAAATAATTTCATTGATTTCCAAAGAAAACAAATATATCTGTATTTTGAATTGGTGTTGTATGTTTTGCATGGAAAAAACTAAGTTTTTCTGTTTGGCCTGCGAGCTGGCGATTTAAAGTGAGTTTTCGATTTCGGGAAACGAAAGATCACACACTCTCGACGTTCCTTTTCTTCCTTACTTAATACAGCATTTTCCTGTTCTAACTGACTTCCAGATTGCAATAGCTGATCATGATGGAGTACTAACTTGTTTTGGAATGAAAAAACAGACTTCTCAGGTTAGTTGTGTGGCACAGACAGTACTCAAATTTAAAATAAGGAACTACAGGAACAATTAAATCGATCACAGTAATTATTCCTTTGTTAGAAAGCTGGGTGCATCGATATGGCGGGGAATATATATAACGGCGTAATATGCGACTAACACGTAATTTCTTCCAGTCGGTTGTGTTTATATGTACGATTTTACGCCAGTAACTAACGGCGTAATTTCTTCCAGTCGGTTGTCTTATATGTACGATTTTACGCCAGTAACTAACGGCGTAATTTCTTCCAGTCGGTTGTCTTATATGTACGATTTTACGCCAGTAACTAACGGCGTAATTTCTTCCAGTCGGTGATATATATATATGTAACATTTTACGCCAGTAATATAATTTAATTATATTTTAATTTATTATAATTAAATCACCGACTGGGTTAGTGGCGTAAAATCTTCCAGTATATAGACTGTGTTAGTCACATATTACGCCGTTATCTAACTACCGGATATGGCGCGATTGGTTTGGAGAGGGATAAGAAGACTTGGTTGAAATTTCATACCTTTTGTACTTAATTTGATTCCCACTTACTGCATTACAGGTGGTTTTCAAAACACTTCCAGGATCACCAATCTCTAAGTTGCAACTTGGTGGCTTGGATGGTCCTTCGCAGGAGAAGGTGTTTGTGGCATCTGGGGCTGAAGTGCGTGGCTATACTAAGAAAGGAAAGCAGTTCTTAGGATTTGACACCAATCTGACCGAAAGTATTCAGTCCATGTAGGTCCAATGTTTATCTTTCACTTTTGGAATAATAAAATATGTTATGTTTTTCTAAAAATTTTTTGATGTAAAAATGGTTTTCACAAGATGTTGAATAAATTACTATTAATAGAAGCATGTTGTCTTTTTATTTCTGGCAGGTATGTTAATGGTGCTGATCTTTTCCTTTGTGGAAACTACATTTACAATCATTACCGTGACTGCAAAGATGAAAACTATTTCTTGTCCGGAGATAAGATTACTGATGTCCTTTGTTTACCAATAAGAAAGTGAGAGAAAGTTTTCTGATGTTTAAAATGAAAATCACATAATTTATTACACCTTGGTTAACTGTTATTGTGGTATTTTGTTCAACAATTTTGTATAAAAACAATTTTAGTAGAGGTAGGATGCAAATGTATTCTCATGCCCTTTCCCAATACTTCTTGACACAGTCTACCAGAAATAATTGTTATCCAGCAGCCCAGGTAACACAACAGATTTTTGCTGAGGCTTATCTGCTGGAGTGACACAAAGTTTATCACATGGTTAGCAGTTATATACCTGTCATGTCCTGTAACTTTTTGGTGTCTCATCAAGAAATTCTATTTTGGACAATTTTAGAAACACAGATACATTAGTTCCTATTCTGGCCTGTGAAGACAGAGTCTTAAGGGTTTTACAGGTAAGTGATATTAATAATTTTCATTTGGCAGACAGATTGAAATAATACTGAACAATATAAACTGCTGTAGCCACTGCATAAGACTGATTTTTCCTAATAATGAATAATCTTACTACAAGATGTAACTCAATGTTGAAGTAAATATTATAATTTTTTTTTACAAGGATTCTGATTTGTTGTATGAAGTTGAAGTAGCTGGACCACCCATGGTGCTTGCTCTGCATGGTGGGAATGGAGGTTGGTAGTAAACATGGAATACAAGTAATTTTTAACAAGCCTTGAAAAGTATCTACCCAGGTGATTTTCGGAATGGTCATAACACTGATAGGAATAATGCGATGGAGCCCTTAAAAAAAGTTTACACTAGTCTTACACACATATTAACCCTTCGACCCTAAGATTGACCAGCTTCTAATTTCTCCCTACAATAATACCCTGAATCCCACATTAAGGTCACAAGAATAAGGGAAATGATCTGCACTAAGGAAATTCTTGATTGTAAATTAAGCACCCTTGGAGTTGTATAGAGAATATTCATTATGATATTAAAGTGTAAAGGGTTAATTAGATGATATGTAATGAGGTTTTGCCTCTGGTGCATGTTTATACTAGAGAAATATATACACTACAGTGTTGACTGCTTTTATTGTTTATGTGTGTCAACATTTCATGCTTTGCATCAGATGATTACCACAGTATGATGACTTACTATAATTGTAATAGTTACTCTCATACTTAATTTTGCCTTATCTTAAGGTTTGTCTGGAGAAGAAGTTTTGTATGGAACATCAGATGGAAAAGTGGGCATGATTCAGTTAGGAAGGTATATGAAATATTGACTTAAAGTATTTGAATTGACATAGAAACAAGCTGAACACTTTCACAATTTTGTGCTCTCACCCAAACATTGGAATTGTCTGTTCAGACATATTCCATATGTTCATGGTTTTCTGAGTTTAGTTAAATGTTACTAATCTTCATCAAGGATACAAATTCAGCCATAAACAACTAGAGGAAGAGTCCTCTTGACTGATAAAATCACAACTTTTTAA